TTCTCTTAGCTAGACTCTCTCACCCTCCCTTTCTCTTAGCTAGACTCTCTCACCCTCCCTTTCTCTTAGCTAGACTCTCTCACCCTCCCTTTCTCTTAGCTAGACTCTCTCACCCTCCCTTTCTCTTAGCTAGACTCTCTCACCCTCCCTTTCTCTTAGCTAGACTCTCTCACCCTCCCTTTCTTCTTCCCCTTCTCTTAACTAATTTTTCCTACCTGTTTCTCTTAGCTAATTGGGTATAATTTCAAGCAGCAATCAGCATAACACAACAATTTATATCTTTAAATCCACTAGAAATAAGACTCATATTCAACACACATCCATGCCCTAGATTATCAACACACATTTTGGTACTCAGTTTATTTGTATCCATGACAAAACTAAAAAACACAAAAAACAAAAACAGAGGTCAGTAACAGAACATATATATATACACTCAGATACTCTGATCTGATACATACTCTGAGGTCCAATACTTTGATACAAACATATATATATATACATGTATACACTCAGATATATATATATACACTCAGTATCCATGAAAAAAAAAAAGAAGACAAAGGTCGAAATCGAGAACAGTAATACATACACTCAGATACTCCAATACATACTCTGAGGTCCAATACTCTGATACATACATACATATTTATACACATATATACACTCAGATCTGAAATCCCTAGATCAAGTTTAATGCAAGAGACAGATAAAGAGATACCCTTTGAAGATCGGTGGTGAGGGAGGAGCGGCGGTGAGGGAGGGAGAGAGAGAGAGAGAGAGAGAGGGTGAGCTTGTTTGTGTTTATGTTGTGATTGATTCAACCAAGCCCTAAACACATACACACACATACATATATAAACAAGGGCATACTTGTAATTTTATATCGGGGCTAAACCGGGCGGGGATCGGGGCCGGGGCTTAGAAATGTATCACCGTCCCCGGCCTGAATGTCATCGGGAATTGACTTTTGAATACCATCCCCAGCCCGTCGAGGATATTTTTCGGGGAAAACCCACTCAATTCGAAGTCAGGGGGGTCGGGTTTAAATTGTCATCCCTAACAGTGACAACCATCACCTCCATCGACTCTCCAAATCACTCCCTTACTCTGCCACGGCTGCCACATTTCTTCCCCCCTACTTCACCCCTTTATTGTAGCTATCTCATCACCTCCCCTCCATTTTTTTTTTTTTGGTTCTTTTTTGTTCTTTTTTTTCCTTCTTAAATTGTAAGGCCGAGGGTTTGGTTATAAGAATGAGAGTAGTACTCTCTGAATCTCTCTCAGTGCATCTTTTTTTATTGTACCTTTAATTTCATATTTTTAATGAAATTTTTACTTTGCCGATCCCAAAAAAAAAAAAGAAGGTAAATTACTCAATTGGGGTATGTAATGTTAGAAAGATGAATGATTTTGTCGTTACTATAAAAACATCGAATTATGGTGGAGGTCGTAAAAGACCAAGGATTTATCTTGTTTGTGAGAGAAGTTGCCAATATAGAACAAGAAAGAAGTTGAAAGATGATTCAAAAACTATGTTGAGAATAACTGGTATGAAGAAGTGCAAATGTCCTTTTGATTTGAGGACATACAAGTTGACCACAAAGGATGAATGGTCACTAAATGTAGTATGCAGGTTGCATAACCATCTAGCTACAAAGCATCTTGAGGGACATTCAGGTGCATGTATATTGTCAAATGATAAGAAATTATTGTTAATGGATATGTCAAAGAGTATGGTCAGATCGAAAGAGATTTTAATTATAATGAAATAGAGGGATGCCCTTAATGCACTGAAAACCATTACATTGTGCGTCAACGAAGCAAGGTTGTAGAGAAAATTGGAATATCATAGATACAACAACTCTTGGGTGAATTAGAGAAGTATAATTAAATTGAACGTCATCGATGTAAAGAGGACATTATGACTATGATAGACTTGTTTTGAGCACATTCTGTTAGTTTGGATTTATTTCGTTCATTTCCAAGTGTGTTGATTATGGATTGCACATATAAAACAAACATATATCGTCTTCCTCTTTTTGAAATTGTCAATGTCACATCCACTGAAATGACTTTCTCACTAGTTTTCACATATTTATAGCTTGAGAGGACTGATAACTATGAATGGGCGTCGAATATATTGTCTTGATAAGTTGGTGTATCATATATACTATTTATGAGAAGTGTGCAAAATTTTGAATACATTCTTTGTGCACCCTTTTGTATTGTGTACAAACATTAGTATTTTTCGAATCCCTTTCACATCATATGACCAATTGTGTACTCCCAACACATTCCTACAAATTCATAAAACAATCAAACTAAGAAATAAATTTGTAAATTATGGTAATGAAATCAATATTGAGCGCAAGGGTGACATCTTACTTGGTGTAATCAATTAATGGGACCAACCAAATGAGAAGGGAGGGAGTGATCAACCATAAGGGTGAGCATAGTTTGGGTTGGGTTGGTTTGGTTTAGCCGTGAACCAAGACCAATCCATTCCATCAAATTTAGAACCAAACCAATCCATGAAATTCTTGGAAACCACAGTTCAGTTTGGTTTGGAACTGTGAATTTTAAAAATATTATCATTTATTCACAATATGATCACAAAATATTTTTCACAACCTAAGAATTATTTACATGATTGTTTAAAACTAGTTCTATCACTATACAAAAATATACTAATAATAGCATAGAGTTATAATATTTGATATTAATAAGATATTTTAGTATTTACTATCAGTAACAAATTATATATGATGTAAACAATCTGGTTCGATTCCAATTGGATTTGTAACTATAAAACCACAAACTAAACCGTGAAACACGGTTTGGCAATTTCAAAAACTAGAATCGTACCGTGCATTAAGAAAACTAAACCAAAGCGTACAATTTGGCCTGGACCGAATTGGTTTGCAATTTTTTGGTTTTTATGCTCAATCCTAATCAACCAAGTGGTCCTCATCCAACCTCCTTTAAATCATTCATTGATGCATGACATTACGTGACAATGTCATCTAATATCACTGTTGCACCCAAAATCTCCTTGAGGGAATGAAGACGATGTCACTTTTTTGACACATTGAACTCTATAACCTCGAGCAAGAGAAAGCTTTACCCTGTTGCAAGACTTGAAGGGATTCGGACCAACTGGCCAGAAATGCATCAAGATTTACAAATATAGAATGAGAAAGAAATGAGAGAAAAATATAAAAATAGAAAGATAGCTTTTTGTTTATTCTTCAACTTTGCCATTCATTGGTCTACAAGATGAAGGGGAAAGGAAAGAAATTCAGAGAAGGCTCTGCACCTTACTAGCACTTGGCAACGAAAAAAGCACTGAATACAGCAATAGATGGAACAATCTGCTTACCATATTAACTGATAAGCATGTGAACATTATGATATATGTGCAATATTTTGAGGTGAATTGTTGGATTTTTAGATTGTTCTTCCCCTATTTCTTCATTATGAAATATTTTATTGACTCAAACTCTTTGATATGGTTCGTTGTCAATTCCCACAACTACCTTATCTTTCAAATGGTCATAGAAATTTTCATATAAAGAACAATCTGAAAAACCAAAAACAACAAAAACAAATATAATTATTTGACACCATAAATCCCCAAATGAGAGGGCATGACTTACTTTCACAAGGGAGAAGTACGTGAAAAACATAGCTTATACATTACAGAATTCTAAAAAAAAAAAAACCAGTACTAAACAAAAGCTTTAGAACAATAAGAAGGTTACAAAAGGCACATCTGCTCCAACATGTAGAACAAGCTCAAACAGTGGCCAGGCTCTCATGGAATTCATAAACATACTTAAAAGCATATGATGAACAAGAAGCATCCTTGTAACCAGGACATTCATAAAAGCTAGTTTGGTAATCACAAAGCACCTTCACCTGTCTTGCACTTCAGATTATAGGAAACAATTTTGCCAGGAATAGATAACACCAACGTAAAATCTTTTTCATTTGCTCCCTTCACAGCACATAGTACAAAAACTTTACTGAAGCTGGGCGTTTCAAGCATGAGTCTGCGTCTCTCATCTATCTCGGGAAAAAGAGATATTATAGGTCCAAGACTCACCTGGTACTTCTACATCCAATGACAGCAGTCCCTCTCCATCTCAAGAATTTTGAATCCCATAGCACAGCACTGACAAAGCTGAACAAGAAGTAAATGGCCACAGCATTCTCCAAAATACCAAATCTTCTCTTCGGAAAGAATTTTAGGGTATGAAGGCATTGGAGTTCCTATTAGCTTCTGAGCATCAACATCCAATCGAATGTAAATGTTATCGTAACTCATCCAATGAATTGCCCCATTCCAAAATACCCTTTTTGTGAAAGAGTAACCTGGTGGTGCAGCGGCACACATGTATGTCCAAGAGGCACTCTCCGAAGAGTATATGTCAATTAAGTAAAAGCATCCATCACTATTCCTAATGTAACTTATCAATAAAACTTTGTAGTTAGGTGATTTTGAAGGATCAAAAACCAAATAACCACCAAACATATTACCCAATGATCCAGATGAACTCCAGAAAACACCAAACTTGAGATGAAATTGTACAGAAGATGATGTAGTGCCACCATGATAGGGATAGGGAAGTACTGTGTATTTCTGGGTGGTCAGGTTACAAACAATGAAACATGTGCCATTCAACAGTAAGCCTTTGCAAGAGTCTTCAATCCTACATGTACCAGACCCATATCCAACACCATCAAGAAATGACGAAGTCGGAAGACTTTGGTGTTGGCCGTGAAGTGAGACAGACTTGACTTTTTCATCGTCAAATGATGTAACAGGGTTGATGAACAGTCCTGAGAACAAGGCACTGGGATGTTGGTTAGCGTGGTTGCGAGAAAATGGTGAATTGGAGATTAGGGAGACCAATTAATTCTGCAGCTGGTGTATGTTCCGATGAATTGTAGCCAATAATTAGCTTTCTTTTGTTGTTGGTCATTTTTCCCTGTGCACAATCCAGAACAAGAACAGAGAATACGCATCTCCATCAAACTTTTAAACGTCAGCCAAATTTTAGTTAAAAAACTACTTTTTCTATTTTAACTAATTCCACTACTGGAATTCCTTTTTGTCAAGCATTTTCCTTATAACTATGATGTGATCTAGTTACTAGTATAATTCATTACAGCATTCTCCCATCCTTCACAAAATCTTGTGTCAAATTTGAATTTCAAGAAAATGACTCCAATTATTTCATCAAATTTGTATCAAATCAAAATTTTCTTCAAATCAAGACAAAATAAGTTTTTCACTAGATTTGATGAAACAAACTTTTGGGGATAAGCATGGAATTTTTAAGAGTACAGCCTCACTTGAGGGCTCATGGGACACACCACATATCCTATTTCGATGATCCAAACCATTCATTTCATAAGATCTTTTGTATATATCATCTATGAAAAAAAGTAGCTCAGTCCAATAATCGTTATATTTGTATTTACCATGTTTATCGCAAAAAAATATGGTCTATTTTCAAAACATACTCATTGTCCATTTTTGGAAACAGACATGATGAAATGAAAATGTTGCCATTATTCAACTGTGATAATTTTTTTCATGGATGATATACACAAAGGCCCCTACATGAATGGTTTGGATCATCGAAACAAAACTTGAGCGGACCCCACGAGCCACTCAAGTTCTCCTCTCTAGTTCTCTCAAGCCAAGATTTGAACTTGAGAAGCCAAACCCAATTCGTAAAAAAGATTTGATGAATTTTTAAAGTGAGGATTGGAGCATTAAAAAAATTTCACCAAATCAAGCTTGCAGTTAAATTTGATGAAAAGCCATTGGAGCATGAGCATCCCATATCAAATCAAGCTTAAAGCTAATTTTTTACCCAAATTTGATTAAAAAAATAAATAAATAAAAGAATGAACTCATTGTATAGTGAGATCTAATCAATAGTTCAAAACTTTTAAAACTTGAAAAAAATTATTTGTGAGATTTATTAGTTTTCTTGTAAAATACTTCTGTTGCAATGCTTATACAAGAAATTATGATAAATTAGTAATCAATCAAACTAATTATGTATGTTATATGTTTAAGATTCCTAAAAGCTTTTCTGTATATTCGATTGTTTCAATTTACAAAGAGTTCATTAGTTTATATAGCCCTAAATCTATGATTGAAAAAGGAAATACAAACTATGACTGAAATATGAAATACAAACGAATTCCTATTTACACACTCATGCCATATATACACAATCTATATATATAGAATATATTCTCACAACCTCACTCAAACTCAAAGTGTTTTAGCAGAAAACGCTGAGAGTTTGCTAAGAAGAAACTGAAACTGAGCGGTAGTATGAGTCTTGGTGAAGAAGTCCGCAAGTTGCAAAGCTGAGGAGACAAAAAGAAGCGAGAGAGAGCCAGACTGCAAATGTTGTCGGACAAAACAAAATGACAATCAATCTCAATGTGTTTCATCTATTCATGGAAGACAATATTGTGGGCAATCTGAATAGCACTGCAGTTGTCACAATAGAGAGAGGTCAGAGAAGACTGAGATCCACCCAAATCAGAGAGAAGACAACGAAGTCAAACAAGTTCGTCAGTAGCATAAGCCATAGCACGATACTCAGCTTCGATAGTAGAGCGAACAACAACAGTTTGTTTCTTACTTTTCCAAGAGATTCAAGAATCGCCAAAAAACATACAGAAACTAGAGGTGGACTTACGATCATTAACATCACTAGCCCAATCAGAGTCAGCATAGGCCACCAAGTCTAAAGAGGAAGAAGTAGAGGACAACCGTAGGCCCTGAAAGATGGTACCCCGGAAATAGCGAAGAATGCGAACCAAAGTAACCCAATGGTAGAGCGAGAAGCAGAAACGAACTGACTAACCACATGAACAGCATAAGCAAGATCAGGACAAATGACAGTCAAATAAACTACACAACCCACAAACTCGCAATAGAAAGTGAGATCATCCAAAGGGACACCATCAGTACAGTTGAGCTTCGCATTAAGCTCAATAGGTGTATCAAAAACCTTAGTATCGATAAGACTGGCACGGTGAATAACCTCATTAGCATACTTGGCCTGAGACAGAAAGTAGGCCTTTGGAGAAGAGGCAACCTTAATACCAAGAAAATATCGCAAGGGACCAGATCCTTCATTTCGAAGGTGTGGAAGAGATGTTGCTTGACCTCAGAGATATCAGAAGAGTCAGAGCTAGTGATGATCATATCATCCATAGAGTAAGAGAGCAACAAAACCAGCCGAGGTATGTCTCAGAAACAAAACAGAGTCGGAAGCAAAAGTATGAAACCTAATCTCGGTAACAGCAGTCTGAAAGCAATCATACCAAGCACGAGGAGATTGCTTCAAACCATATAAAGCACACCGAAGATAACAAACCTGCCTAGAGGAGTGGAGAAGGCCACAGGGAGGACGCATGTAGACCTCCTTAGTGAGATGACCGTTAAGAAAAGCATTATTAACGTCCATTTGATAGAGAGGCCAATGTCGAATAGCAGCAACAGAAATCAAGGTACGGACAGTAGTCATCTTGACAATAGGGGCAAATGTCTCCTCATAATCAATACCATACTATTGCGAGAAATCCTTGGCAACCAAGCGAGCTTCGTATCGCTCGAGAGAGCCATCAGAATGAATCTTGAATTTATAGACTCAATTGCAACCAACCAGATTCTTGCCAGCAGGCAAAGGAACCAACTCCCAAATGTTAGTCTTCTACAAGGCAAACAATTCATCTTCCATAGCTTGAACCCAATTAGGATCCTGACAGGCCTCCGTGTAAGACTGAAGTTTTGAAAAAGAATGAATAACAGACAAAAAAGTACGATAAGAAACAGAAAAACATATATTAGACCAACCCAACCTGTTTGAAGGACGACGCTCACGAGTAGGATATTGGTGTGCAGCAAGATCAGAGTCGTCAGAAGCAGGAGGATAAGCAGTAGGGGTAGAGACAACTAGTGGAGGAGGAGCCTTGCGATGAGAATAAACTAACAACAGATGAGGATAAGCCGAAGGAGGAGAAGCAACCAAAGGTGAAGCAGGAGAAGATGATGGAACAAGCTCGGAAGGAACAATGGAGATGTACTTATCAGACGGGACCTCAAAAGGAAATGGATCAATATGAACCAAATCTTCTTTGGAAATAGGGGCGGTGAGAGAAGGAAGCTAAAAGTAAGGTAAACGTTCGAGAAATGCAACATGGCAGGAGACATAAAGGCGACGAGAAACAGGGTCATAACAGTGATATCCTTTATGAGTGAGACTATAACCAAAGAGACACAGAGAACAAATCGGACACTACGTTTGGTCCTATCTTTACGGGATAAAAGGACAAAACAAACAGATCCAAACACACGAAGGAGGGAGTAATTCGGAAGTTGGGAAAACAAAGCCTCGTAAGGAGACTAACCAAAAAGGAGGAGGGTAGACATATAGTTGAGAAGAAAAGCAGCAGTAAGAACTACCCCACCCCAAAACGGAGCCGAAACGGAGGCAGAGAGAAGGAGAGAACTAGCTATCTCAAGAAGATGACGGTGTTTACGCTCAGCTCGACCATTTTGGGCAGGTGTATCAGTTGGCCAAGTATTCACAGAATTCAGTTTTAAACTATTCCCCGCCCAAGTCAAACCGCAACAATTTAATAATAGACCCAAACTGTGTAGTAACCATAGACTGGAAGGTACAGTATATCTAGTAGAAGTCTGACTTATGAGTCATAAGATAAACCCAAGTGTAACGGGTGCAGTCATTAACAAAAGACATATAGTATGCAGAACCCCCTTCGGTGAGAACAAGAGAAGGGCCTCAAACATCAGTATGAACTAAAGAAAATGGTATATTAGATATATGAGTACTTTTGTGAAAAGGTAAGGTTGTCATTTTGGCAAGTTTACACCCCCGACATTCAGTAAATTTACTAAGAGAAACTTTATCCAATATACCCGATTGAACTAAAAACCATAAGCGATCAGCAGACAAATGCCCTAATCTAGAACGCCACAAGTAGAAAGGACTAGACAGAGAATCTAACTGTAAAGAGGAAAAGGCAGTTTGAGAGGTTGCTATAGACAGATGCAAGCTCTCCACCACATAGACGTCTCTACTACATAAAGGTCTCCAACTCTACAGCCGGTCCCAATCTGTTGCTTAGACATCCGATCCTGCACAGAACAAATAGAAGAAGAAAAGATAACATCAAAACCAGAGGCATCAAGCTGACTGCTAAATAATAAACTGATAGATAACTAAGGAACATAAAAGACAGATGGAATAGAGACAGCAGACATAACAGATGGTAGGACAGACCCAACAGATATAACAAATATACCAGACCTATTAGCAGCATTGACAGTAATAGGAAAGGGATGAGTACAATTTTGAAGAAAGGGAAGATGGGGAGTCATATGATGAGAGGCACCAAAGTCAAAAATCCGGACAGACGAAGAAATACTTGACGAAGACCCAAGCAAACCTGAATGAAAAGAGAAAACAATGGACGTAGATGGGGATGGCTGGGAGGTAGACAGGATATGCTGAAGCTGATTAATCTGAGCACTCAAGGAAGCCAAGTTAGGATTAAGAACCGGAGCAGATGCAGTAGAATCGGCGAGAGGCTAAAAAATATTCGGAGAAGGGGCGCAGAACTGGATCGGAAACTGCTAAGAAGACAAGGCAGACAAACATCCCTTTTTAGGACAGTGATACTTCCAATGACCCCTTTGATGGCAGAAGGCACACTCATCAAAAGCCAAAAACATTGTAATAAATAGAAAGGTGAAGGATTTTAGTATAATAAGCCAACAACTGATGAGTCAAAACATATAATAATCCCAAACAACCAGAACCAAATCACCCCAACATGATACACACTGGTACTGACACTGATGTGGTCAAAGTGCAATAAGGACAAAACCTGGTGGACTAAGGTCAGAGAACCAATACAAAGAAAGAGAGCTTTCTTATCAGAGAACAGAGACGAGACCAAAGACGAAGAGAGAGGGAACTTCATCAATACCAACAAAGAAACAGAGGGCTTCATAGAGAGAGAGAGCAGCAGACGAACCAAGGGGGAAATCCGTGATGATGTATCAAACCAGAAACACAGAGGACTGTCGATCAAACAGACCAGATGACCCACGATATGTGGTCGACTAGCTGAACCAGAGAGAACCCAGATGATTTGAAAGGGTTTCGTGACTCGTTAAGGCTAAGAGGAGTTGCGAGTTGAACCCAGACAACTGATGAACAAATCAACCTAGACGGACCAATTGATTAAGAAAGAGAAAGCGAGTGACCTCCGAATAGAAGAACCAAACAAGCAGTCAATTGCGATCAAGGGAGAAGACCACAACCTACGATGCAAAGAGACTAGCAACTTCTAGGGTTCGGTGATAGCTCTGATACCATGTAAGATTCCTGAAAGCTTTTATGTATATTCGATTGTTTCAATTTACAAAGAATTCATCAGTTTATATAGCCCTAAGTCTATGACTGAAAGAGGAAATACAAACTATGATTGAAAAAGGAAATACAAATGAATTCCTATTTACACAATCATGCCATATATACACAATCTACATATATACAATATATTCTCACAATATGCATATACATTGGCCTTTCCCAGAAAAAATTCCTAGTTCCACCCCTGCTGGCAAATGCTGTAAAGTGTACCTTTTCTTTTTTTCTTGGCAATGGTTGTGGTAAGATCATTTGGTAAAGATCTCCCAAAAAATTAGAACAACCAAAGATTGACTTCACCAAAATTAGTAGGGAAATGTTATTTTGGTATGGTATTTCCAAAAAAATCAAAGTGGCTTCACGAATGTTAAATTTGGTAAAGTATCCAATGAACTGATCGCAAGTTGGTAAGATACACCCTTTTTAAACTCAACTCAGAAATTAGCAAAACCACTATCCTTATCACAACCAAAGAAAAATGCCCAAAAATACCATCAATACAACATATCTCGATGGAACTTCTCTAATCCAGAAGTGATGAAATCAGGATTGCAGAAAATGAACTTCTCTAATGTACATGAGATGATGAGTGAACATGTACAAAAAGAAAAAGATCACCCACAGTCTTGGTTTCATTTAACCCAAAAGATCTGACCCTAAAATTCACGTATCACAGAGTTGATGCGAGCATATCTTAAAAAACTAATTAATACTGTATTCAAACAAAACCCACTATTATTTGGGGCAGGTCTGTTGAACATCTACGAAACATGGCAGCTTACCAGAATCCATTTATTCATCTATAGAGTGGAAGGGAAAAGGCTTACCGCAGTGGGAAGACAGCCGACAAAGACCGGTGAGGAAGATAGCCGACGCAAATGGGCAACGAAGGTCGGTGACAACAATAGCCGACACAGATCAGCGTTGTTTGTTTTCTGTTGATGGCAGACCACAATTTACCCAAACACTTGAAGAGAGGCATAAGTGAAGAGGTGTGAAGGGGAAGAGGTCTGCCCTAAACAATGGAAATAAATGAGAGTATTTCGGTAAATTCACATTTTTTTTAGTTGCCATCTTCCCAAACTGGAAAAAGACCCACAAGTCTTGGCCATTTGCTTTTTGCACTGGTTGATAAATAAGCTGCTTTTTTCAATGTTGCCAAACTCCAATTTAGTCATAGTTTATTTTTCTAGTTAATCTATCCATTAAGAGGCATATTCATTTGGGCAATTCAACAAACACCACGCAAATAGTTAAAAATCTATCACTTTTACTTATCAATTGAAACAAATTCCTAATTTCAAATAGGATAAAATAAGCAGAATGATCACAAAATTTTATCAAATATCAAAAATTAAAATAGAACATACCAAATTGAAGAGAAAGGGTTTCTAAGGTTGATTCCAGCTTCGCTAACCAGTGTCTCCACCGAATTTGATACAGATTCTTACAGTGGCAATTTCCTTCTCCGAAGAAAATTGAGGGCACTTTTCACCACTTGGTCGAAGAAAAATGAAACTTCTAGAGATTCTTTTGTTGTGTCATTTGCTTTAAATGTTGGGGATAGGGGTGCTCATGGGCCCATCACCGGCCCAATTAAGATCAATATTTGTAAGATTTGAAAAAGAAAAAAAAAAGAAAAAGAAAAGAAGAAGTCTACTCTATAAGATCGGATCGAATTAAATTTTAACTTCATTTAATTTTTAAGTTGGATTTAGGATGATAAACTTTAGCTTATACCTGCATGAGTCGCTTATTTATAAAATATTAATATTAATTTTAAATTATTTAATTATAAAATTAACTAGAAAAATAATAAAAATATAAGAAAAGCATATATATTTATTTTTATTGGGTTAAATGGGTCGATTTGCAATTTAAATTTTTTTTAGATAAAAACCAATAAACTTAAAAAATATAGAAAAATAGAGCAAATCCCATAAGCCCAAATAAAGAAACCTATACAAACTAAAAAAAATGCCCAAAAAAATAAAGCTAGTAACCATGGATAGCCAAAGCTCATGAACACACACAACAGTAATGGGTAAACCATTATGGGCGCTGATAATCCCAAAATTTAAGAACCATGAAAGGAGAAAGCACTCTCTGTGTCAGAATTACAGAGAAGCTTTCAAACTCTTCTCCGTATGCACAAACACCCAGATCTGCTACACGATAGAAGTGTATTTGTCATTGAATGAGCATCGGGAATCTCTAGAGAGAGAAAGTCCCGCAGCCCTCTTCACGGGATTGTCAGAAAGTCATTGGAGGGGGTATTGGGAATCTCTTGAGATAGAAAGTCGTGCACCCGTCCACGAGATAAGTAACTAATTAGTTGAGAGAAGCGAAAGTGAGAGTGTCAAATGTAAACATCCATGTATATGGCCATTCAAGTGTGTGTAATGTGAAAATATATACACACTAACTAAAGTGCGTATTAAATAATATATATTAACATATATGTATGGGATCATATATAAATAAACTAGTGAAGGCTACTTGACAATTTCTTTTATAAAACAATTCAAAGTTAATAAAATAATGAAAGAAAAATCTTACACCTTCAAGTCTTTCTAGTTTCATCAATTGTCTCAAAAACTAAACAAAAATTAGCCTAAAAACATCGAAAAAAAAATTTTAAAAAAATTTGACATGGTAACATATTGAAGTTTGTTAAAGGAAAAAAGCTTTTCAAATATTTGCAAAATAAAAATATAATGACCTTACAAGAACTGTTGTGGATTTAATCAAGAACATGAAAGTCTTAAAAGCTAAACACATTCTTATGTCAACACAAATATACATTTTGAAAAGGGATCTTTTTACAATATACACTTTTTTTTTAATGTATATTATATGTAAGTTATGATAATTTATAGTGTTGATATCACAAATGTCACAGTTAAATTACTTAATATGTGGTTGATTACTTGCCATAAAAATTGGATGAGTGTAATAATGAAATTAATTACCAAAAAATAATGGACAATACTATTAATTGGCAAATAGTTTAATGAGAACATTCTAGATAATTAGTTTTTGAGGATGAAGAAATGCAGATTATATAAAAACCAAGCAACTTACAAGATAATGAAAAAGAAAAATACCACAAAGGCCACAAACCCAAATAAAAAACCTACTCGAACTACAAAAAGCCGCCAAAGAAAATAATTAAAAAAGCAACGACTTTGAAAACTTCCAATCTTTTTACAAATGTAGTGTGAAGAAATAAGATTTTTATCAAACTTAAAATCAAACCCATTGTCGTCGTTGTTGCTGTTAATCAAACTCCACCGTTGCCGTCTCAATCGCCAATAACCAAGGGTAACCAAAGCTCAAGAACACCCACAATAGTAATGAGTACTATTGTGGGTGCTGATAACCAAAAATCTATTAACAATAGAGGGAGAAAGCACTCTCTATGTCAAAATTAGAGAGAAGCTCTTAAACTCTTATGTGTATGCATAAAAAACCTAGATCTACACGATAGAAATGTAATTGGAGCTTATTGAAAAAGCGTCGAAAAGTTGTTGAAGGGTGCAAGAATCTCTAGAGTGAGAACGTCTCACACCTCTTCACAAGACTGCCAAAAAGTCATTGGAATGGGCATAGGGAAATATAGAGAGAGAAAGTCCAGCACTACTCTCTACGAGCCTACTGGGTCGATAAGTAGCTAATTATTTGAGATGGTGCGAGAGTGAGAGTGTCTAATGTGAAAATATAAATATGAACATTAAAGTGTGTTTAATGTGAAAATATATACACGGCCATTAAAGCGTTTATTAAATGATATGTATTAACATATATGTGTAGGATCATAGATAAAGAAACTAGTGAAAAAGTGGCGCATAAAACTACTTGACAATTTTTTTATAAAATAATTCAAATTTAAAAACAAAAACAAAAAGAAAGAGGAAAAATCTTGCACCTTTAAGTCTTTCTAGTTTCATTAATTATCTTAGAAACCAAACAAAAATTAGCAGAAAAAGGACATCAAAAAAAATCAAATCAAATCAAAAATTGACAAGGTAATACATTGAAGTTTGTTAAAAGAAAAAAACTTTTCAAAGATTTGCAGGATAAAAATATAATGACCTTACAAGAAATGTTGTGGATTTAATAAGGAACATGAAAGTCTTAAAAGCTTAACATCATTTTTATAGGATTCAGATCTTGTAAAAAATCACTTACAGGTAGGATCTTACAAACCTAGTAATTGGATCTTATAGGATCGTGGAATCCCGATCCGAATCTGATCCTATCCGATCCAATTTGTAAGTCTCATTTTGTATTTTTGGCCTATTTTATTGTAAATTTTATATTTGTGTCTAAATACCAATTTATATAGTCCAAGTGAATAAAGAAAAAAGTAATATTGAATCAAATGGATTAAGAGAAACAAACTAGGAAAACAAAAGAAAACTAACTAGCAAGAAAAACAAACTTAGCCTTAGCATAGTTTGAGGAGGGCAAGATGTACGCAACTTCAACCCAGTTTTCGAAACTACTGTTTTTGTGACTCAAACCCGCTCCACAAGGTTAAGGACAAACTTTATCATTTGACCAAGCCGTTCTTTTGAGTTCTCAATCTAATTTCATATCCAACTTTGCTAAATATATATATATATATATATATATTTACCTTCTACTTTGGGGGGGGGGGCGAGCTGAAATGGTCAAGATCTGTTTAGCGGTGGTGCAGATCTGCATGTCGCCTGGTCCTTCCCGTCTGATACTGGTGATGCTGTAAGGGGGAAGTGGTGGCGGAGCTCTAGTGTGCACGTGACGGATAGTCACGTGTTAAGACGGCTTCGGTGATGCTGTAAGGGGGAGGTTTTGGCAGAGCTCTAGCAGTCGGCGGTGTGTGCGTCACGGAATGTCGCGGCTTCAATGGCGACTATGGATGCGTGTGTATAGAGAACAAAAGGAAATGTTGAGGTGAGCATGTGAGGTTTTTCACTTCTGTGCCCTAGTTGAATTATTTCCCCATTCTGCGAGGAAAGGACAAAAGAAAGGGCATTTCGGTCATTTTACCGTCTGACGAGACCTTGGTGTTTTCCCGCCAAAAAAATTGTGAATAGTATAAACTTTTTGGCTTTTGTAGTGACTTTTTGACTTTTTTAGATTTATCCAAACAGCCACTATATCACATCTAAAAATCACAATACATACATATATGTATCGAGAGATAGAGACAGAGAGAGATACAGACACACACACACACAGAGAGAGAGAGAGAGAGACAGCGAAAAGATCGCCTATACACAGAGGTTCAGATCGCACAAAGAGATTGACCTCACAGAGAGAGATCGAGATCGCAGACAACCTCGCATAGGCGAGATCTACAATCTAATATTTGATTTTTCACGTATATATATATCTCAAATCAAAGGGTAATACAGTCATTTAAAAAATAAGAAAATAAAAAACGGGACCTCCGACTACAAAACTTAAAAAACTGTGGACCTATTACTCTATTAAAAATATAGTGGGATTAGAAGGGAGATAGATCCCCTACATAAGACTACCGACAATGCTAGGTAGCTTAAAATTTTGTGGCTCAAATAACTCCAATCACTCAAAACGACATCGCTTTGAGTGTAAATGAGTGTAAAACGACGTTGTTTTGACATATTTGAGCCATTTGAGCCACAAAATTTTAAGTTACCAAACATTTTCCTAAGACTACATAGTGATTTTCCCTAAATTTAATTATATTTACCATTCATTTTTATAAAACAAAATACGATTTATTTTTATATTTACAATTTTCTAATGAAGTAGATTTTTTACATAGATGATTTTTATTGTGGGGCTTACAAGATCGATAGTTTAGATTATCGATGCTGGTTCGGATTGAAACCTACAAGAAGAGTACAGAGATGTATGAATGAGAGCTTATCCCATTGTTTGAGATGATTTCAATAAATATACTTTTTAACTTTTTATAAAAAAAAAATATCTAAAAAAATAAAGAGATAATGTGAACACTGAGTAAAAATTATTATCATATTTCATGAATTGAATTGGGTCAAGTAACTTCATATTCACCGTTCGTTTGAATTTAAGCAAAAGAAAAAAATACTAAGTAAAAATGATGCAAATGCATTTTTCGCTTGGACCATCCAAATCACATATTGTGGGATGGATCAGTTCGAATGATTCAAATTTGATAAGCTGAATGGATCTTAGGTTTCGTTTGTCTATTCTAGTTGGAATTAAAAAGTATAAAAAATAAAATAAATAAAATAAATTAATAAGATAAAATATCATATCAAAATCATAAAATAAAATAAAATAAAAAATTTCCAAGCAAAATTATAATTCCAAATTAAAAAAGTTAAAACTTTAAAAAGCCAACTAA